CGCTGTTTGAAGAAGATCCTCTAGTTCTTCTCATCTATCTCAAAAATACTGAAGCAAGGTACAGGAATACTCATGATATACAAAATATACCCACTCTCGTGCTGCTTTCCCCTCATTTATCAAACCTCCAGAGCCATCAACATGCCTCAGCACTTTGATCCTATTTAAAAATCCACATAACTCTCCATTTACAGCAAGCAAAGCCTTTCCTACAGTTCACTTAAACTGTCGTCCTGTAAATTAGCCTTCAGAAGAGAAAGCTGCTGCTTGGAAACTAGAAATATTAGACACCAAAACATACGCATTAATTTTCTCTATTAATTGCCACTGGCCTAGGATCAAAATGCCCAAGGAATGACAAGGTTTGTTTTCAAAGCTATTTATTCCCGAATCCTGAAAATGTCTACTCATGTACAACCACTAATAAACCCTGGAGAGAACAGCACTTGTCAGAACATTCCACTGGGTTCAGGGTAAGAACCTTTAAAGGCTCTCAGACTTGACATGTTTTGGCTGTGCCTCCTGCCAACTGATTCGCAGAACTATTGCAGACTCGAGCACCCAACAGAGGAGACAGAAGGACAGAAGTTGTGGGTACTGCTGAGAAGGCATGAGCTGCTCCATGGTGCATCTCCTTGGAAGGATATAGACTTGTAGGAGGAGATTTTGACAAGGACTCCAAGAGCCTTGTCGGATCCATACATTGAAGGGATGGTGGGGAAGGTCTAATTGAGGTCTGTTTGTCCATCAGCAACTGTGGTACGTACGCTGGAGGATCAGCCCAACACTGCAAGCAGGTCCTCTAGACCTCCTTTCTAAGACCATAAGCCATCAGCTACTCCAGCAGTGCTGGGAGCATTTTTTCCTGACGTAAAAAGGACTACGGAAAATTATATTTGTTACACACAATCACAGAATCTTCTAGGTTGGAAGCACGGAAAATTATATTTGTTACACAGAATCACAGAATCTTCTAGGTTGGAAGCAACCTCAAAGATCATCTTGTCCAAACGTCAACCTAACTGACAAAAATAGACACCCACACAACAAACAAGAAGCATCACCATCACTAAACCATACCTCCCAGCACTACATCAACCTTTCTTTTGAACACCTCCAGGGATGGTGCCTCAACCACCTCCCTGGGCAGCACATTCCAATGGCTGAGAACCCTTTCAGTGAAAAATTTTTTCCTAATATCCAGCCTTAAAAATCACAAATGTAAATTCAGGTGACAATGAGACATTTCTTCTTATGATTCTATTGTAGCAATAGGATAAGGAGTAATGGTTTTAAACTGAAAGAGGGGAGGATTCACATTAGATATTAGGAACAAACTCCTTACTGTGAGGGTGGTGAGGCACTGGAACAGGTTGCCCAGAGAAGCTGTGGATGCCCCATCCCTGGAGGGGTTCAAGGCCAGGTTGGATGGGGCTTGGAGCAACCTGGTCTGGTGGGAGGTGTCCCTGCCCAGGGCAGGTGGGTTGGAACTGGATGATCTTTAAAGTCCCTTCCAACACAAACCATCCTATGATTCTCCAGCTCGCTGCTACATAAACAGCAGCAACAGAGTTTCCTGAAAAGGTCACACAAACTTTTCATAAAGCAATGCCAATGGGAAGATGATGATGATAATATGCTACATAAACAGCAGCAACAGAGTTTACTGAAAAGGTCACACAAACTTTTCATAATGCAATGCCAATGGGAAGATGATGATGATAATCTAGCATTGCAACAGCAGCTACCAGCACCTTTACCCCAAAAGCATTAGCATGCATTACCCCTACGCCAATGCTGGATAAGATGCAACTTTTACCACATTCTGCTCTTGTCCAAGCTTAATTTTTGGGTGGCTAATTTTATCACTGCCACCGATTAATTAGAACAAAAGAGCTACAAGCAGAACAAGCACAATACAACACGAAAACAAGACTAAGTTCTACTGGAATCTACTCTGGATATTTTTTTTTTAAAATTCCACGTCAACAGACAGTTCCTTTTAGCAAATTGTTTGTGAACAGTTGATGTCCCTATTATAGAAACATCTGGAGTCTTTGTTTTTGAATTTACTTCTCAGCGTTTGAGATTGACCTTTTCATTTCTAAATCAGGTTTTACCCAGACCTTTTTAGAGAAAAAACAAAAAACAACGTTGCTGGTTTGCAAGTATAGCAGCTGCCAGTTTACTGTACCTCAGTACATCACCAAAACCCTGGACTATGCCTTGGCAGGCCTTCTCCTGAACTCCACTGCAGCCTCTATTAGAGTCCTTCTAGAGCTCCACTTCTAAAGCCACACGTGTTTTTTCCCCACTTTTCTCTATTAAGTAGGTCTCTTCTTCAAAGTTCCCTGTATCTTCAACGCTCAACTCATTCTTTTTTTTTCCCTCTCAGCCCAAGACCCTTCCCATCTTTCTTCTGAATTTCCTGACCTTCCATTGCATCCTGTAATTTCTTTTGCTCCAAAATCCCTTTATAGTCACTTTACTGTGTCACAACTGTTCTACTGTGTCTCCTCCACAGTCCTCCTTTGCATATCTCTTCTTTCTTCCATCCCAGCATCACCCTGCTAGAACCAGGCACGAGGAACTAGAAGAGAAAACAGATGCTGCTCCTGGCACCGCTGATGCCTCTCACATCCCATCCAGGCCTCCCAAGCTCTACAGAAGCTCAACTGGATGAGGCAGGATCCCAGCGAGAAAGGAAATTAATCCCTTAAACACCAGAACCACCCACACTGGTTTGTGCAGGAAGAAAACACCGTAACTCCTTTTTGACAGGAAGGTCCCATTTCACTGCATCCTGAGTTAGACAAAATTACACACTAAGTGGCTACAAAGCAAGACAAAAATTGAAAGAAGAGATAGTTAAAATTGTTGTCCTGGCCTTTCTATCTCCGTTCTTCACTTTCCCAACCTCCTTATAATGTGAGACAAAGGGAAGGAAGGTCTAGCTGTTTATCTTTAACCATAAAGTCAATAAAAGTTGAGTCCCAATTTCCCCTTGGTTATTATGTCACACACACACCCCCTCCTTATCTCAAGGCGGTCACCTCTTGGGCTAAACAGTGAGAAAAATAGTAAAACCCAACAGTTCAACACAAACAGTAGCAACACAAGTCCAGCCTACAGGACTGAACCCCAAAAGACTAAATTGGAAGGCCAATGGTATCTTGGGTTGTATAGGGAAGAGTGTAGCCAGCAGGTCAAGGGAAGTCATTCTCCCCCTCTGCTCTGCACTGGTGAGGCCACAACTGGAGTACTGTGTCCAGTTCTGGGCTCCCCAGTTCAAGAGGGACAGGGAACTGCTGGAGAGAGTCCAGCAAAGGGCAACAAAGATGATTCAAGGATTGGAGCATCTCCCTTATGAGGAGAGACTGAGAGAGCTGGGACTCTTTAGTCTGGAGAAGAGAAGGCTGAGGGGAGACCTTATCAATGCCTACAAGTATCTCAAGGGAGGGTTGAAGGAGGAGGGAGCCAGACTCTTTTCAGTGGTTCCCAGTGAGAGGACAAGGGGCAATGGGCACAAGTTGGAACATAAGAGGTTCCACTCAAATATGAGGAGAAACTTCACGGTGAGGGTGACGGAGCCCTGGCACAGGCTGCCCAGGGAGGTTGTGGAGTCCCCTTCTTTGGAGATTTTCAAAACCCGCCTGGATGCAGTCCTGAGTAACATGCTCTAGCTCTGGGCAATCCTGCTTCAGCAGGGGAGTTGGACTAGATGATCTCTATGGTCCCTTCCAACTCTAGAAATTCAGTGGAATTCAGTGAAATCCAGCTTCAGCATCATATCAGTGAACACACAAGTAGCCACGAGCCGTGACGAAAGGAGTAAGAGTGGAGAAAAAAACAACTTACAATAAGAAGAAAAAAACCCCACATCTTACAAGGATATAAAAAGGACAAATTTACCTTTATACAGCTCTATTATGATAGATGCTGGAATATTGTGTTCAGTTTTTGTTATCTCCCATTTTGTAAAGGATGTTAGAAACAGTAAGTGCGTGACACGCACCGAGATTTGAAGGCTACGGGAAGTGCCTCGCTGTGAGATTCTTTTCAGCTCAGGTTATTTGTCCTACTTGATTACAACTTCTAAACACCTCTGCCAGGAAAAAATGGCAATACTAAAGTGTTATTTAATCTGGTACGGAAGCTCAAAAAATGAGCTATGACAAGAAACTGGAAAAATACAAAAGGGAAATAAGACTTTTTTTTACACTTTTTTCAAATAGTTGGTAAAATCAACTCCTGAATTTATCAGAAAGTCGTGGAAACTCAAATTTTTCATACTTTCAAGAGGCTGCATGAATTTCCTGAAGTTATGCTCTGACAATCAAGCCATGAACTCAAAACACAATAACCGCGTGGAAGCCTAACATTTCACAGCATACAGTGAGTTACACAAGCCAAAGGTCTTGGACTTCTTTTGTGTTACCTCCTATAACCCAAGTTACATTCATTTCAGAGGTTTCCTACGTCAAATACTGAGCAAAACAGGCCAAGGAAAATGGCTCAAATGAATACCACGAAAGCTCTCGGGATTGCATGGCCTCTGGCAGTTACCCCTGTCCTCTAGATCTCCGTCTGTTAGCTGTCCATTCCTCCTCACATTTTTTACAGAAGCTAAAAAAATAAACAACTTTTTTTTTTGGAGCTTAACACCAGCATCAGGTCTGATATGTTTATTAGGGCTGAACAACCAGACTGACCACCAAATTATTTAATTCACGTTCCACTCACTCAATGGGTTTTTGGCCCACCAGTCTGCTCTTGAGAAATAAACCTTTCCCCCCCAAGTAATCGTTAACGCTTCAAATTCGCATCCATCTCGCATTTTCAAAGCATAAGAAGCATTTCCAAAGTCTTAAGAACTTGAAGGTCTTAATTTTGTGGCTCTCGCTGCACATTATACATCAATACAAGCACTTTAGAAACATGGCATTTTTCTGTGCAACAATCCATACGTTATTATCAATACAGAGGTTTGCAGAACGTACCTCTTTCTCGGTATCCCTGGATATACAGGTCCACTGGTTCTCCTTCACGCTGTATGCCCAGAAGTCAGCCAGATCCTGAGTTCCATCCCAGCCACCAAACAAATAAACAGTTTCTAGTAAAAAAGGGAAGAACGTGTTAGTTTTATTTTAAGAAGAAAATGCCTTTCAACAGGCTACTACCTATAAAACACCTGTGACAAACAAGAGTATCAGAAGGGAAACTGAAACTGATTCTTACTTAAAGCACCTCTTTGAATGGAACCGGTCACCAGGATGAAGAAATGTGGTTTGGTTTAGTAATGGAAATTTTTAGGATTGATAGACAGCCAATTCTCAAGGAGTCATTTTCTGCGTCTACGTACACATAAGAGGCAATCAAATCCACAGCCTTCTGATTAAAATTCATGAAAGACAAATGAACAATACTTAACATTTTGGATACTGTGCAGTTTAGGCTGTCAATGATATTTCAGCTTGTACCCCACTTGGTGCAAGATCTATAGATTAGAAAGGGATCTGAGACAGCAGCAAAGCTTTTCTGTTTAGTCCATCCCTTCGAAAGAAAAATTTACTGCAACGATGAGTAACTCTTCAAGGGAAACACCTTGAATTAACTTCCCTGACGCTGCAAAAGCAAAGAAGTAGAAGAGTTACCCATTTAAGTCAGTGTTTCAGACCCATCTTTAGAGCCTGTTACCTTAAACCCACCACCACTCCATGGACAGCAAGTTCAAAGTCTTCTCAGACTTGTTGATGAAACTAGACGAAGGCTCTGAACATGGGAAGCATTTAAGGAAGAAAGTTCTGTTCTGACATGGAGAGATAACTAAGTTGCTCCCATTATAGAAACATCCCTATCTGGTCTCAAATGCTAAAAACACTTCATTTTTAGACTGCTTTAAAACACAACGCAAAGCCAAGTCCAAGAACAAGCCACTGAAGACTTACAGAGCTTTGAAAAACTCCTTTAAAATCCACAAACTAGTTCCATTACAGAGGTAATGGCCAATTTTGAATCCAACACCAATTAAATAGCAGAGTTAGAAGGGCAATTATAAAATGGGAATAGTCCCTGACCCTTACCTACCATCAGGATAGTGGTCATCACCATGGAAAGGTTACCCTGGTTCATTAACTTTAATTACCCTTCCTCCTGGACTCAGGGCTCCCAGTGTTCCCTGCAAAGAGCAGGTCCCTTTGTGCGCATAAATTCTCACAGCTCACAAAACCCACATTACCACAACAGCTTCATTGATAGTCGAGAAAAATAAAAAGATTTGGCACCAGCTAAGTATCCTATTGGGGCCTTGCCAAAACGTCAGGCCTGCCTGTAAAGGCTTTGTGGTCTCCGATGAAATTTAATCGCAAACCTGAAAGAATCCGATGAAAACTCAAGATTTTGGAAGTTACCTAAATCCAAGCTGACAGAATTAAATGGCATGTAAGCCCTGAAAGAGGAGTAAGGCCATACAAGCTGGTGTGAGCCCTGAGCATCCCCGGAGTCCCAGAGCAACCGTGATAACACAAGTGTGCACCAACAGCGTGCCAAGCTTATTTTTCACCTTGATGTAAAACTCTAGCTCGGGTGAAAGAAAAGGCTCCATCACCATCTACACTCAGAATGACTATCATTTTTTAATCTTATTACAGAACTATACATATTTTTTTGTAGGAAGTTTCTGTATTTTAAAGGAACATTTCTTAATACATCTGTTGCTGGCAATGTCAAGAAAACAGATTCTCATAGTTCTTCTAAAGTTTGCTATTCTTCTCCAATGCTTTAAGGAAAAATTAGTTTGGATGGGTTTTTTTTTGTTGGGATTTTTTTTGGTGTTTGTTTTCTTTGTGCTTTTTTTTTAAAAAACAAGTTGAACTCCATTCCATTCCCCAAGCTGTATCACACCTTCTGCTCTATTTGTCGATTCGGATTTTGTGGGGAGGGTTATTTTTCCATCCTGCACACAAGATGGACCCCGGATGCGTGCCCAGCACTCCCAGGCATTGCCACCAAAACCAACACATCAGACAATACTTCAAGAAGAGACCACAAACTTCCAGGCAGCAGGAGTGGGAAGCTCAAGGGGAACACGGCAGCCTCACATCAATAGGACTCAAAGGGTAATGATTAATGGAGCAGGTTCAAGTTGGAAGCCTGTAACCAGTGGTGTCCCTCAGGGGTCAATACTTGGTCCAGTGCTGTTCAATATATTCATCAGTGACCTGGACGAGGGGACAGAGTGTATCCTCAGCAAGTTTGCTGATGATACCAAACTGGGAGGAGTGGCTGACACCCCAGAGGGCTGTGCTGCCATCCAGCGAGACTTGGACAGGCTGGAGGGCTGGGCAAGGAAGAACCTCATGAGGTTCAACAGGGAAAAGTGTAGGGTCCTGCACCTGGGGAAGAAAAATGTCAGGTACCAGTACAGGTTAGGGGTGGACATGCTGGAGGCAACTTCTGAAGAAAAAGATCTAGGGGTCCTGGTGGACAGTAAAATGACAATGAGTAAACAGTGTGCTCTTGTGGCCAGGAAGGCCAACGGAATCCTGGGCTGCGTAGGGAAGAGTGTGGCCAGCAGGTCAAGGGAGGTCATTCTCCCCCTCTACTCTGCACTGGTGAGGCCACAACTGGAATCTGGAACAGGCTGCCCAGGGAGGGTGTGGAGTCCCCTTCTTTGGAGATTTCAAGCCCCACCTGGATGCTCCTGAGTGACATGCTCTGACAAGCTCTGGGCAATCCTGCTTCAGCAGGGGAGTTGGACTGGATGATCTCTATGGTCCCTTCCAACTCTAAAAATTCAGTGAAATTCAGTGAAATATAACTATTTCTACTGTAGCAGCCCTTGGGAATTTGGGATGCATCTTGCTCTGGCAGAGGGAAGGATTCTTCCTTTGTACCAGAGCAATATGTAACACAGCAACATTGACGCTGCTTCATTCAAGCAAGTCTCTATCCCGCTTTAGGGACAGAGCAGAAGAATTTTCAAACCTACCTACAAGGCAACAAGAAAAACATGAAAGGAGTTATATTTATCCTAAGCTTTTACCAGCTACATTTAGGAAGTCAAATTCCTCCTCCAGCATCTTAACCTTATCTCCTCTACGTTTATTTTGAATACAAATTCAACACTTTGAATTAAATATGTTCTGTGAATATTTCTAAACTGCTTGCTCAGTCAAAAATGTTTCTATAATGTCTGAGTTCTTTTCTTCCCTTACTCTGTGGAAGACTAGAAAGTGCCAGAGCATTCCTCAAAGTATTAGAGAACACATGCTCCCAAAAATTAACGTTTCCTGTCAACGTCTCCATAAGTTCTATTTTTCAGAAGACTGCAGAAAGCAGCCTTTCCAAACCCTGTTAAATACCTAAAATACTAGGGCAGTTTCAGTCTAAGTTCAGGTATGTTCTCGAAATGAGCTTTTCTAACTTGTGTTAACTCCATCTTCTCCGTGTGGTAAAATCCTTGTTGGTCTTCCTCATCCAATCAGGATGTTCTGCAGCAAATTGCTAAAGCCAAGCTGAGTAAGTTCTATTTTTCAGAAGACTGCAAAAAGCAGTCTTTCCAAACCCTATTAAATACCTAAAATACTAGGGCAGTTTCAGTCTAAGTTCAGGTATGTTTTCGAAATGAGCTTTTCTTACTTGTGTTAACTCCATCTTCTCCGTGTGGTAAAATCCTTGTTGGTCTTCCTCATCCAATCAGGATGTTCTGCAGCAAATTGCTAAAGCCAAGCTGACAAGAGATGCTTGCTACGTCTCAGCAGCCCTTTTTTTCCCTTCTAATAAACAGGTACAATGAATATATTCCAATCCCAGTGACAGATTGAACCAAACACTTTGGTCAAATGGTATTTCCACGTCTCTGCTAGAACAGTTCTCCACAGAATATGAAAGAATTATGGACCTAAACCACCTCCACAAGTCATCCGGGCCATCAGCCCTCTCAGCAGGGCCAACTTCAGTGACAGAGCAGGTTGCACAAGGAATTCTTCAGTTACACTTTGTGTATCTCCAAAGATGGATACTTTAGATTCTGTGGACCCCTGCTCCAATGACTGAGCATCTTCATTATATTGATTTTTTTTCCTAATATCTCACTGAAATTTCCATTGCTGCAATGTGCCCATTACCCTTCATCCTCTCCCTCTGCACTCCCCAAAATGAGTTTATCTTCTCCATGATCTCCCACCAGCTGAGGACAGCTCTAAGATCCTTCCATAAGCCTTTTCTTCTGCAAGCTGAACAAAGCCAGCTCCCTAAGCACCTCCTCATCCATCAGGTGCTCCAGCCCCCGACCACCTTGGTGGCCCTCCACGGGGCTCGCTTTGAGATTGTCACCATCTTTATTGTACCAGAGAGCCCTACCTGGGCACAGCACTCCAGATGTGGCCTAGACAGCTCTAAGATCCTTCCAAAAGCCTTTTCTTCAGCAAGCTGAACAAAACCAACTCCCTAAGCACCTCCTCATCCATCAGGTGCTCCAGCCCCTGACCACCTCGGTGGCCCTTCACGGGGCTCGCTTTCAGATTGTCACCATCCTTATTGTACCAGAGAGCCCTACCTGGGCACAGCACTCCAGATGTGGCCTCAAGTATCAAATAGAGGGACATCATTGCTCCCCTTAACCTGCTGGCCATACTTCTGCTGATTTGGCCTAGGAGGAGGTTGGCCTTCCTCGCCACAAGGACACATTGCTGACGCACATTCAGCTCTCTACCACCTTGCAAGTCTGCTTTCCACGCAGTCAGTCTCAAGCTGTTACATCCCAGATTGAGGATTCTGCATTTGCCACAGCTGAACCTCACAGGTTCAGGGTCCCTTTTGACTCACAGTCCTATTCTCTAGTTCATCAACCACTACCTTCCCAATTTGCTCCCATCCCAAACTCACCGAGGGTGTATTCAAGAATCAATGTCCGTAGAATTAAGAAAGGCTCATCTCAGACATAAAAATCTAGGTATAAGATCTCTCAAAAGCCACCTACAAAAGACCATCACTACCCTATGTAATAACCACAGATTTAGCTGCCTGCAAGCAGCATTGTCCACTCTGTGAGGGCCTCCCAATTTGCTCCCATCCCAAACTCACCAAGGGTGTATTCAAGAATCAACATCCGTAGAACTAAGAAAGGCTCATCTCAGACGTAAAAAATCAAGGTGTAAGATCTCTCAAAAGCCACCTACAAAAGACCATCACTACCCTATGTAATAACCACAGATTTAGCTGCCTGCAAGCAGCATTGTCCACTCTGTGAGGGCCACCTATAGTGGGGGACAACTATAAAACTAGACCTTAAATGTTGACACTACTTATTTTCAGAGTCACCGTTCAGTGTAAGCGGTGGCTGGCTAGGGCTGGTCCAAGCAGGCACAACAGCCTTCCTCTCAAATGTGAAAGCTCTGTGAAGTTGAGTAACCTCCAGGATTCAGCAGCTGTTTGTGTTTGGGAGCTTAGAAGCCATCTGTGTTTTGTTTCAGAGATCTCTTCATCTTGTACACAAGTCCTGTCTTTAAATATCTTATGGATAGCAGTGTTTTCCTCAGGCAAAACAGCATCCTTCTTCGTGTCTGCTGCTCTCACTTCATCTTTTTCATCTTTCCACGCTTCTTTTGAACCAGGCTCATCATTTCCACTGTGCTGCCCACACTGTGCCCACTGCTCCAAATCTCCTACCATTCCCCACCTACAGATTTCTTCCCAATTATTTAATAGAATAAAGGAAGAACTCCTTTCCTACGAAAGGAAAAGCAAAATAGCATACGACCAAAATTACAGAGTAGTTTCACTTCAGTGAGTGAACAGAGGTAACACATCAATAAAGAGCATTTTGCTAATATTTTCCTTCAAAAACTCTTTCACTTGCCAAAGAGAAGACAAATGCAGACAAAAAAAAATCATGGTGGTTGCTTAGCTATTATTTCTAAAACAGGCTCATCAGAAAACTTCAAAAGGCTTTATATAAATGGACTAAAAGATGAATGTTTAAACAAACAGGGGATATCACAAAAGGTTCTTTTTTTTTTTCAATGGAATTATTTCAATGTAGTGTATAATTCTGCTACCAAAACAATTTCCATGGTTTTATGGACTACACAGTCGTGCACATAAAATTGCACGTCCGCCCCGTAAGAGCAGAAGAGATCAATTTTACCTTAACTATGGAATTAGAAACCACATCTCCAAAACACAATATTCCTCTAAACACAATATTCCTCTAAAGTACTGACATTATTCCTTAAAACTTGAATCTGGCAATCTGCTTCTGCAATTCTACTTTCTTCCAGAATAAGCACTGGCATTTTCAACTGCATGTCGCATCTGAATTATAAAAAGGCCTGAGAGGGCATAATCAAAGTTATGTTAATGAAGGTAACAGTGCTAGATGTCTACATCCGCATCCAAAACTGTATTAGGGCTTAATGCAACTGGGAACATGCTACAAGACATGAGCCTTCGTTTTACTGCTTGAGTATTTCACCAGGGCCTACGTAAATAGTAATATAGCATTTCACGACTGAAGTTCAGTGCACTTAACACTGTTCTTGAGTAATTTTGGGGTTATTTTCACTTTTGGTGTTTGGGGAATACTTTTGTTTTCATCCATGCACCTGGGTTGTGACTGCCCAAATACTTCCCCTTCCTTTTCTAAAAAAAGTGCAGAAAACTCTCCAGCCTCCCAAACGGAGAACTACGTAAAACATGCACCTTGCAGGAAAAAGCAGAAATAATGTGAGCCTTCTGTTTTCATTTACAGTCTAAAGCTTTAAAGTACATAACAGTGGTTTCCAACTATAACTGGGAATGCTTCTTACTAAATGTTTGTGCACATGCAGGCCAAAACCAACTTCCTAATTCTGCCATCCAGAGTTGTTCCAGTCTGAGTGTTAATATGATTAAAAGCGTGGAAGACGTTGCGAGAATAAGTAACTCCCAGATTTTCTTCATATAGGAAGATATTAGGCTGCATTCTCAGTTTTGTATCCCCAAATGCCTGTGCTTGCATTTCAAAAAGCTTTAAAAGTTTCTCAAACACTACACTTATTTTAAGACAGATGCAGCAGGCATTAAGAGAGTGAGTATCAGATTGAAACCAGCACAAGGTACTGGTTGCCAGCACAGGTGCCAGAATTGCTTCCAGTTCCTTTCAGCCTTCCCTAATTGGAAGATAAAACATGCTTAAAAGCAGTTTAGACCAAGTTAAACTATATTCTACCTGAAACAGAAGGCAAACAGAGTCTCAGTGACTCGACTATCAGTAACTTGAGATCTGGCTCAACTACTTACCAACCCATATCCTCTATCCTCACACTAAAACACGTGCATCCAGCAGGCACAGTACTATTACAAAACCTAGTAAAAATAAACCTACATTTTTGTAGTCAGTAATAACCAGCTAATATTTCCTTGAGGTTAATCAAGAAGCAGAACCATTTAGAGTTCAGTTACAGCTACAGCAGGTCTGGACATCAGAGATTAAAATTTGTTTCCAACGCCTATTCTATGTGATATGAAACTTTAAAACCTCCTTATGGGTATGATTTTGGTGTTTTGCTTCATTTCTAAAAAAAATTAAACGTGAAGAAAATACTCATTTTTGAAAAAGACCTCACCTCTCTAACAAGGAATGCAAAGTGAGCTCGTTTTTCTTCAGTTTCCAAAGACTTCTGAGAAAAACAACTCAACAAGTCTGCGAGCGAGGAAAGGAGGATGACTTTGAGGGAAAGAACAAGCTGCTGCTCCTTTTTTTTTTTTTTTTCCTGTTAATACTAGATTTGCTCAAGGTTAGCCAGGGAGCTTTACAGTTCCAGTCTGTAAAACACACGCCGACGTAACTGGCCAAATTCCCAGTGTCTCATTAAACATTACCTATATTCAAAAAGGAAAATTCAAGCGATCAGAACAGCTGGTTTTGAGAAGAACAGCACCGAGAACTTCCCCCGGTCTGTTCATCAGTCAAATTAAATAGGAAAACTGATCATCTTAAAAAACATTTAGCCTTTTACAAGCCTCAGTGGGCCTGGAAGCAAAACTAAGGGCAACTTCCGAAATATCCCACAGAGAAACTTTCTGAAGGTCTCCTGCCACCGCTGGATAAAGCTGCAGTGGATTAGGGATGAGCGTGAGGGAGGGAGACCCAGTTCTCCCATACTGGGAGCACTCCGTAGGTGCTCTTCAGCCAGTTCTGTGCAAGGAAAGAAAGATATTGATGCTTTTTACTGCCTCGTTAAAGCAGAGTGAAAATTAAGGTCAGAGATAAAGGACTTACTAGGACTTAAGAAAACCAACAGGAATAAAAACAAAGGGCTGGCGCTACCATCAATATATTATTTTCAGGAGGTTTAAAGGACTTTTTGATTCCAAGTTGACCAGCTTTGTGTCTCCTCGCCGTGCTTGTGGAACAGTCCCTGTCTACTTATCCACCGAGGCCACTAGGGAGCGTTCCCAGCTTCTTTTGGAGGCAGACACCAACAATCCTCCCGCAGCGTTTTATTCTAATGAACCTCAAACCTCTGCCACCAGAAAAAAGAAAAAAAAGTTTGCTTTCATATACCAAACAACTCGAGTTCTTCCTCCAGAGCGGTAACTGCACGGAGTAAAAGCCAAAGACTGCAGCTACAGCTGGCATTTTTGCTTGTTCACTGTGACTTGGCAAATTACTCTCGAAGGTACTGCCCTGTCACATGCTGCAGTCCCTGTCCCTGTGACCACGACAGATACGGCAATGGCAATTTTTTGCCAGCTCCCCTCAATGCCACCCTATATCCCCTCTCTGCTACTCACACCCTCATCTTATTTCTCCTTTCCTAAGAACAAGCCTTTTACTCCTACAAATCATTTACTCAGCAGAGATGCCGGCAGATGCACTCCTTATTTCAGTAAGGAATGACGTACCACAGAAATCTGATTAAATAAAAGCAAGACAAAGATATAGAAAATTATGGAGAACAACAATCACCAGAACTGTCACTTATACCCTCCCCCCTTTCTTTTCTCTGCAGGCTCTTTAAAGAACGGTTCAGCCTCTGTTTCAAACTCCTGTAGGAAACATTTTTGTAAAAAAAGTCTAATAAATTATATTCAAACAGAACTTTCTTGCACACCGCGGAAATTAGAAACCACTCCAATCAAAATACAAAGAATGTTTAAACACGTAGGATCTATTGCTTGAGCACTATTCCAAAGAGGATAGTACGTAGCAGAGAAGAAAAATGAGAAAGAAAAAAATCATCCCTAATTTCTCTTCTCTTGTTTAAGTTCCTGCTCATAGAGGGTAGGAGGGATAAAAAAATTAAGAACAATTGTTCTTGGTTTCTTAGTTAAGACGACGACTACGGCGTAACAGAGGACTAATGGGGAAGAAGGGGGTGGAAAAGGCAGTTGGAGCATAGTTCCAGAGAGAAAGCAGAGTATTTAATCCATCTACTAGAAAATGCAATTTTTTTTCCTCAGAGACAGTCTTAGCTTCAGGTTTTAAAGAAAAATACACTTGTATGTTTATGTGAAAAATATCCAATTAAATAATTAATTTATTTAAGAAACTTAGCAATTACTCACCTGTCTGAACGTCTATAACCATCTGATGGCCACCTCTCATTCCTGGCCGACTGTCCTCCCCATCACCTTTAAAAAAAGAGGGAGGGGAGAGTTTTCTGTTATAAAATTTTTAAATCAAAGATTTTAAAATACAACCTCACGTATGGCCTAAATACTACACAGAAGCAGAGCAGCTTAGTAAATTGCCATTCTTTAAATACCAGCACTACATTTTGTGCAGGTAGTATCCTTCTGTGCATTATAAAAATTGCACAGAGTTTTATATTGAATTATTTGGTGACTGAAACCAGGGATAGTTAAAGTGAACACAGTGCTCTGCTGCCATTCTGAGAGCCTTGGAAAGGAGCTTGAGAGTTCCTGAAGCATCCAGGTCCCCACAAATGAGGTCTCAGCTATGTCTGCAGCTCTCCAGCAGAGAAGACAGGACACGGACAACCTTTTGCTCCTCTTCCATCTCTCCCCACCTGAGAGCTGCCTTGAAGGCCGAGCAGTGAGAACAAATACTCAAATGACAGGACAATGTATCCATGGGATGGAAGCCAAGAGGTAATAATACAGGTATTGCAGAGGCAGCTTTGCACCAATTACTTATTCCCACATATAAGGGAATTCCAGCTGCCCAATTAAAGCAGCTTTGCAACCCCTTTAGATTTCTTAAGCATTCAGGACAGGTGTCATCTATGGGAAGCAACATTAGAAAGAAAACCCATATTCTGCTGGAAGAGAAATCTGCTTGTATCCATAGATAACCCTTCCCAAGAGGTTTGGGTACGGTGCGATTGTCACCTTGAATCCTACAATTGCTGCATGACAGTGATTTTTGTACTTTGTAGTGAAGGCTGCTGCTACTCTCAGGACAGAGAGTAATGGAAAAAAGATTCTGCAGTTTAGAATTACTGCATAACAGACCAAGACTTCAAAAGACGCATCTCAAATTTAAAATGCTCCCTGATATCATACAATGGTTTGGGTGGGAAGGGACCTTAAAGATCATTGAGTTCCAACCCCTCGACCATGGGCAGGGACACCTCCCACCAGACCAGGTTGCTCAAGGCCCCATCTACCTTGGTCTTGAACACCTCCAGGAATGGGGCATCCACAGCTTCTCTGGGCAACCTGTTCCAGTGTCACACCCTGACAGCAAAGAATTTCTTCCTAATATCTAATCTAATCTAATCTCATCTCCCCTCTTTCACTTTAAAACCATTACCCCTCATCCTATTGCTCTACTCCCTGATAAAGAGTCCCTCCCCATTAAGATAATGTATTAATTTGACACTCTTTTCTGCACATTTGACTCCACACGTTAAGTCCGGTCATACAGGTAACTGCTCTCATGCTTAACCTATATTTTGAGATTTATTTCTGAACTGATTAGCTATCCTTGAAGTTACAGCAAGTGTTCCTGTCGTGTTCTTTACTCAACCAGAAACCAGGTTGCGTTTCACTGCCTTCGCAGACAAATGCAAATTTTTCTTAGATGAAACCATTCTCTAGAACAACTGGCCCAGAGGAGGTTTTCTTGCATCAGTTTCTTGCTCAATATCCTCAAATGAACAAGACAGAACTTGCAGTACACGGGTTGTAGCTTAAGAAAAGTCCTTACCTTTGGTGCTTTTTGGAATAATTTGCCCCCAGCGAGGTTTGTATTCCTGTTGGCTGATATACTGATTGAATAAGCCATCTGCAAAGCAAAAAATGTGTTGTATGAAACATTTATACTTCCACTATAACAAAATCGCTTTTAATGCAGGTGATTCCAGCGTAGATCAACCCAGTATGCTACTCCAAAGCCCTAATTTTAAGTAAATTCTCTACATACATCAGTTAGTTTGTTAAACTTGTTAATGAACTAAGCGTGTAAGCACTAAAATAAAAAGAATACTCGTTACTCAATCAAGAATTACCCAGTTTGCCTGCCAGGTCATAGAATCATAGAATTGTCTAGGTTGGAAGGGACCTTTAAGATCATCTACTCCAACTATCAACCTCACTCTGATAAAAAACCATCGCTAAACAGGCCATGCCAATTGTGAATCGCTTTTAATGCAGGTGATTCCAGCCTAGATCAACCCTGTATGCTACCCAAAGCCCTAATTTTAAGTAAATTCTCTACATACATCAGTTAGTTTGTTAAACTTGTTAATGAACTAAGCGTGTAAGCACTAAAATAAAAAGAATACTCGTTACTCAATCAAGAATTACCCAGTTTGCCTGCCAGGTCATAGAATCATAGAATTGTCTAGGTTGGAAGGGACCTTTAAGATCATCTACTCCAACTATCAACCTCACTCTGATAAAAAACCATCGCTAAACAGGCCATGCCAATTGTCTATAAATCTCCAGTGAGGTGTATTTAATTAAGAATATAATCCCTCCCCCTTATTTAAGCAAGAGGAAAAGTTGCCAGTGCATGTAAAATTCAACCATTTTAGTACATGTTAAGTTAAAACTAGGTCAGGCAGCATCTCTGGAGCTTCATCTAAAGAAGAAAAAAGGAAGAAAAGCAGATTGTTTAAATGGTACGATATGGGACAACCAAGCAGTGGATGAAAAACACAATAACTGTTTACATTCTCCTCAGAAAGTTAAACAAGAAGAGAAACAGAAGACGCATTAGGTCACTGGCCAGATATGCCAACAGCAGCATTTTCTGTAAGAAGCATTAACTCCAACACTCTCCACCCAGCCTCAACCACCTCCCTGGGCAGCCCATTCCAATGCCTGAGAACCCTTTCAGTGAAAAAATTTTTCCTAATATCCAGCCTGAACCTACCCTGGCACAACTTGAGGCCATTTCCTCTTGTTCTGTCGCCTGTGACTTGAGAAAAGAGACCGACCCCCATCTCTCTACACCCTCCTTTCAGGGAGTTGGAGAGAGCAATAAGGTCTCCCCTCAGCCTCCTCTTCTCCAGGCTGAATAACCCCAGCTCCCTCAGCCTCTCCTCATAAGACTTGTGCTCCAGACCCCTCACCAGCTTTGTCCCTCCTCTGGACCCGCTCCAGCACCTCAATGTCTTTTTTATGGTAGGGGGCCCAAAACTGGACACAGTACTCGAGGTGAGGCCTCACCAGTGCCCAGTACAGGGGGACAATCACCTCTCGGGCCCTACTCGCCACACTGTTCCTGATACAGGCCAGGATGCTGTTGGCCTTCTTGGCCACCTGGGCACACTGCTGGCTCATGTTCAGCCGACAGTCGACCAACACCCCCAGGTCCTTTTCTGCCCGGCAGCTCTCCAGCCACTCTGCCCCCAGCCTGTATCAGTCTATCACATCAACGTTAATTTTTTTTTAAAAGGAGATTCACAACACCCACGTTCTCTGGGACCGCTCTTCATCTGGGAAGGGCTTAGGCAAGTGTTTGGGGAACTTGTTGCTGTTGTTCTTCAAATGTCTCCTCTAAAACCCTCTACCCCAAGTAGATTGAGGATTCAAATGATGGATTTACACGGTTTTGTATTGCAACAGTACATGGCACACGCACCACTCGGATGTAGGATGCATTCAGGGGTCCTTAATCATGTAATGCCCAAACTGGCTCAGGAATCAGTTTTACATTCCTCAGCAGAGAGAACAAAAAATGAAATTATTAAGTTGCATCTAATAAGTTTTAGTTCTTCCGATCCCAGTAATTGTGGCTTTGAGGTAAAAATTTAACGGATTATCAATGACTCCATTTATTTATAGAAAATCCCTCGGGAGGCATACAGACAAAAAAGAATAATCCTTACTGCACATATAACTATTTATTTACAAAAAGGTAAAAAAAAAAATCTTTGTTAAGCACGACACAACGTTCAGAGAATATTTCAAAGCTTCTCCTGGCATCTTGTAGTTTGTCATGACTGAAATCCAGGTTTTAATTAAAACTCAAGCCAGCAAGTACTTCCTGGGAGAAGATGAATACTCTATTTAGAGACCAACTAATAGGAAAATAAGGGCACTCAAGAGCCCCTGAAAGGTGCTGAATTTGGTCTTAGAATACAAAACTGCTTTCAACTTTCATAAACTCAGCTCTGCAAGTTTTTCAAATTAAACACTCCGTGAAAGTGGGGCAGATTTTACTCTCACATGTCTTAGAGCCAAAAACATCAGCTCTCTCCTAGGCATTAGGTAATTGAGGAAAGCCAAAAGTTTGCTCAACATACGCAGAAAAGTGGTTTATTTTGGTTTTAAGAGCAGGGTTCCTAAGACCCGCTTCTTCAGCCTTTATGAAGTTGGGACAAGACGAGAGGGGCTTTTAAGCTTGAGATTCCATGAATTCTGATTCAGAAAAGCCAACTTCCAAAAGAACAAATGCACACGCTGTGAGAAATCCCACACTGACTCAGGCAGATTTTTCTAGCCGCAAACCTAGACAGAAATCCAGCTTTTTGGTTATCATTAGGGTATTTGGTCTTCAAGACAGAACGCAAAACCGTATTTATCCCTATGGCAGCCAATGGATAATTGGACATAAATAGCTCAAGAGGATGAATTACACCACATATGATCTGAAAGGGTGATTTAACCTCTCTCCCATGCTCAACACCCACAGGCTGCACTTGTCAAGATATGACACTTCTCCCCTACTGTGCCTTCAGCCTCTTTTAATAATGCTTCTTGTCTTCCATGGGACATTGGTTTGGAAACGCTCCAGCTCGCTTCCCAGAAATGTTTCTTTCTGCTGGGAGCAGTTCCACATTCATTCTACTTGCACTACAAACCAGCAGCAGCTTGTTTTGGAGGCTGAATCACCACCTGTCTGACACCACCGGGGGGAAAAAAGCAAAAAAAAGAAAAAAAAGATTAAAAAGGAGGATTTCTAGGTGGATTCCGTATCCGACGCCAGACCTATTCTAGAGCCCTCCTTATTTTTCTTGCCAGGGGTAGAGCTGCTGACCAGAAGGTCCCCAAAGCTTCTGAAAATCAGATCTAGGCCTGCTCAGGTTTGTCAGCTGTTTCCAATGAATCACTAGTTTAAAATAAATTTCAAGACTCCTGTAGAAAAAAAAAAAAAAAAAAAAAAAGAAATAAAAATGCTAAGTGCAAGTTTTTAAAGGAAGTCTTTTCCTTCGCTCCGGAGGCCTCTCATTTCAGTGTCCACGTTTACTCTCTAAAATTACAGCCAAACCCAGTACTTTTATTTTGTACTATTTTCAAGCCCTTCGCAGCAGGTCGTGACGCATTTTGGATGTAACAACATGAAGTTCACCGTGGTTAAAGCTCAGTAAATTCTACCTCCCTGATAAGCGCGGCCTTTATTTTGTCGGCCAAATACAGGTTACCTGGAAAGGATTAGGACAAACATTGCACACAAAAATATTTATCTTGCTGAAGCCAATCAGGAACACGTTAAAGTTGTATTATGTTTCCCTTTAGACAACACACATCTCTTGACAGGATTACTAAAAATCTATTCATTTCACTGCCAAGGGCCAAAAAAACTTCAGTGGCATTTAGCCCATAATTTCTGGGGGTTGGGGTTGGTTTTTTAACCTTTTGCTTGAATCAAACTAAAATACCCAAAACACCTAAACAGAATGAGGGTTTTGTAGTCACAAAAATCCTTCCAAAGAAAAGCTGGAGCAGAAAACAAAGATGACACCAAGTAAAAACCCAGCCATTACTTGACAATTTCCTCGAGACATGGGAGCAACAAGTTAACGCATAATATTTTTCCAGCCTCAAAGCTGTAATATTCTCTTGCACTTTCTTCTTAACAAAAATGAAACAAGGTCTGTTTTCTAATCTCTACAAGATATGCGTCTTCTACACAAACCCTACCATCTATCTGCCATGGGCTTTGCACCCCTAGCAAGCCTCTCCCTTCCATATATCCCAGTACTAAAGAGCAGCAAACCAGCATCTGTATTTCTCAGAACCAAAATCAGACATATTTGATGGTAAAATTAAGGTATAGAAATGAAACAAGGTTTGTTTTCTAATCCCTACAAGATAGGCGTCTTCTACACAAACCCTACCATCTACCTGCCATGGGCTTTGCATCCCTAACAAGCCTTTCCCTTCCATATATCCCAGTACTACAGAGCAGCAAACCGAATCCAGACATATTTGATGGTAAAATTAAGGTATACGTGTGTGTCTGGTGCTTCCAGGAGAATACAACTGGTCCCATGCATAGAATCATAGAATCATCTAAGTTGGAAGTGTGTGTGTCTGGAGCTTCCAGGAGAATACAACTGGTCCCGTGCATAGAATCATGGAATCATCTAGGTTGGAAGGGACCTTTCAGATCATCAAGTCCAACCATCAACACCAATAAGACCTATCATTAAACCATATCTCCAAGCACCACATCTGCCCATCTTTTAAATACCTCCAGGGATGGCGTTTCCACCACTTCACTGGGAAGCCTGTTCTGATTCTTAATAAACCTTTCAGTGTAAAAGTTATTCCTAATATCCAATCTAAACTTCTCCTGGTGCAACTTAAGGCTGTTTCCTCTTGTCCTATTGCCTGTTACCTGGGAGAAGAGACTGGGGTCCCCTGGGGAGTTGTACAACTCCAGCTCCCTCAGCCTCTCCTCACAAGACTTGTGCTCCAGACCCTTCACCAGCTCTGTTGCCCTTCTCTGGACACACTCCAGCCCCTCGATGTCTTTCTTGTAATGAGAGGCCAAAAACTGGACACAGCACTCGAGGTGGGACCTCACCAGTGCCGAGTACATCCCGAGTTTTG